TCTCAATTACCAATGTTGTATGGTTTTGGTACTATTTTTGATCTTAAATTAAAATTAGAAGGTTTAGAAAGTGGTTTAGGAAACTTTGGTGTAGTTTTATAAATCAATTGTTCTGACCAATGTCCTTTAATAAAGGATAACATATTTTCTCTTTATAGTTTTTATGAGAATAGGTTTAGAAATACCACTCATGGAGGAGAGGAACCGCAACAAAGAGATGAAAACCCACATTCATTTCTAAATATTTTCGGGTTGAAGAAGAAGAAGACTTAAAGAGAAGTTGGGAGTGGATATTCATCAAGAGGTGGTGGCGGCGGCAGTGGCAGGTTCAACGAGCTTATGGCGTACCTTAGCGAGAGCTTAGTAGTCGACAATAGTAGTAAAGCGTTTAATTTAGTTAAAGGGTGGAGGGCACGAGCATTAACTTGGCAATTCCTAACTCGATTGGCAATGAATATTTTTTCAATCCCAGTCTCCACTATTTCATCTGAACAAGCCTTCAGTATGACCGGCCAAATACTTGAGGAACGCCGAAACGCATTGCAAAGGGGTATTGTTGAGCTTTGGTGTGCATTAAGGATTGGGATCGTGCCGATCAACGTTTACAAGATATAGTTTCGCTTGCAAGCCAGAATGGATAGATAAATTTAATGTATTAATATTTACTTTTGAAGACGATCCTTCAGCTTGATATTAAATTGTAATTTGTAAATATTTATTTGTTTTGGACATTGTAATTGTAATATTTTATCTTTAGACTTTGTAAGTTTAGAAAATTTATAATTCGTCACAAAATGATTGCACTTTTTTTTCCTTACCAAGTTTTTATCCCAATTGGGTTTTTCTTAGTAAGGTTTTTAATGAAGCAATCATGAATTACAAATTTAAAAATTAATAAACAAAATTAATTTTTTAAATTGTGTTAATAGGGTGTGTTGATTTTAATCTTAATTATAGTTTTTATATAATTTTTCCAATAAATAACTTAATATATATATATATATTTTTGGGCTTTTCCGGGCGGGCTCGGGCAGTCAAGACTTGCTCGAAACCCGTCCAAGAAGATTTTTGAGTTCGAGCGGGCATCCCGGATTTTTTGGGTAGGCGGGCTCAGAAAACAGGCACAAGTTCAGTTTTTTCAGGTGGTCGCGGGAGGCCCATCTAAAATTCCAACACTATGGGTAGGTGAATAAGCTTCAAATAATATATATTAAAATAATCAAAATTTTAATTTTTTTTTAAAAAAAAAGACAAAAGCATAACGACATTTATTTTACTCGTCTCTCCCTATTACTTATATGTAACGTGTTGTGTAAATACTCGTTTTCAATACTTTAGGTGAATAAGTTTCAAACAATATATATATATTAAAATAATCAAAATTTAAATTTTAAAAAGACAAAAGCATAACGGCA